AAAGTATGTTTCTAACACTCGAAGTTTTGCACTAACCATGGCAAACTTTACAACAGGGCTCAATTAAAAGGTGGTGAAAAAAGAAAGTGGGGAAGTTTTGTCAAGGTGTAAAGTCGCTCCGTGAATAATGCCCACAGTGACATCGGTGTGCTCACCTGTGTATGGCATACCCTCCTGCTGCATGCCATCCACTGTCCTCTGAAGGACTGTATTTTTTATTTTCAGCAGCAAATCCTTGGAAACCTGGGGATCGTATAGGAATATTTAAATATAACTGGGTATTAAAAAAATGTCTTATAAGCAGTACTATATGGGACAATGAAAACTATCATTTTTTACTACTTCAGATAAGCTGACTACTTTATTTACTTATTTTTAAATATTTATTTTGGGGAGAATGCAAGTGGGGGATGGGCAGAGAGAGGAGGACAGAGGATCCAAAGTGGGCTCTGTGCTGACAGGCTGACAGCAGCGAGCCCTATGTGGGGCTCGAACCCACAAACCTCAAGTTCATGATCTGAGCTGAAGTCAGATGCTCAACCGACTGAATCACCCAGGTGCCCCTAGGCTAAGCACTTTAAATTCATAAGCTTTTAAAATCTTCACATTGACCCTTTAAGTATTTAGCCTTACTTTTATAAAAATGAAAGAAAACCTCTGAGAGATAAAGCAGAAGCTAGATTATGTATTATTTACTGATCGGGGTCAGCTGCTGTTTTATGACTAAGTATTAAATCATCTTTACTAGTAAACCTATAGAATTCCAAACGTGTACACACTTAAAACTCACTAAAAAGAGTTTCCTAAACCATAATAATAGTAAAAATGAAAAAAGTTCCTCTCCCACCTTGAGGCTCTTTTGTATCCTTCCAGTATATTCTATGCCTATTCCATAAGCCTATAAAATTAAGAATGTGAAAGTTTATAAATTACAAAAATTAGACCTAGACATAGTTCTTTTTTAAAAAAGATTTTAGGGGCGCCTGGGTGGCTCAGTCGGTTAAGCAGCCGACTTCGGCTCAGGTCATGATCTCGCGGTCCGTGAGTTCGAGCCCCGCGACGGGCTCTGTGCTGACAGCTCAGAACCTGGAGCCTGTTTCAGATTCTGTGTCTCCCTCTCTCTCTGACCCTCCCCCGTTCATGCTCTGTCTCTCTCTGTCTCAAAAATAAATAAACGTTAAAAAAAAAATTTAAAAAAAAATAAAATAAAAAAGATTTTACTTTTTGAAGTTTTAACTAATTTCTATACCCAATGTGGGGCTTGAACTCAAAACCCTTGAGACCAAGAGCTGCATGCTTTATTGACTTCGCCAGCCAGGCGCCCCTAAAGATAGCTCTTGTACTAAAATCACTTTTATTGAATAGTAGTTTTAATACTTATAAAACATTGGGGTGCTGGGTGGCTCAGCCAGTTGAGTGACTCACTCTTGATTTTGGCTCAGGTCATGATCCCAGGGCTGTGAGATCAAGCCCTACATCGGGCTCCCCACTGAACATGGAGCCTGAATAAGATTCTCTGTCCTTCTGCCTCTCTCCCCCGCTTTCTCTTTCTAAAATTAAAAAACAAAGATCTTACAGCTTTAAGTAAATCCTGTTTTATTTTTAATCTTTTAATCAATAAAAGTGTGTATAAGGCACTACATATACTATCAGCACAAACAACTGTGACTAATCATCAGTGAAAAGAATGGGTGAGTTTCTGAAGTGCTAGTTCTACTTAAAAGACACCCAATGCAATTCCTTATAAAAACTGTCCAAAAATTGTTTGGAAACATACTTTATGTACTCATTATGAAGTACAGAAACCATAAAAACAAATTATAGTCTGACATGGTTCTCAGCTCATCTCTCTTTCACACACACAGACACGCACACATTTAATGAGCACTTATGTGCTAGGCCTTGGATATCCAAAGATGATTAAAAAATAACTCTAGGGGCCCCTGGGTGGCTCAGTCAGTTGAGTGTCCAACTTCGGCTCAGGTCATGATCTCACAGCTCCTGAGTTCAAGCTCCGTGTCGGGCTCTGTCCTGACAGCTCAGAGCTTGGAGCCTGTTTAAGATTCTGTGTCTCCCTCTCTCTCTGTTCCTTCCCTGCTTGCACACGGTCTCAAAAATAAATAAACATTAAAAAAAAATTTTTTTTTTTTTAAATTCTGTACTATAATTGGCTCTCATGGGTTAAAAACAGGGTGTAGAGAGCAGGAGCTAGAAGGATTTCAAACCACAGTTCTTCAAGGACTTTACAAAAGGTTTTCACTCATTCATTTATATTTTTATACAATTTATTGTCAACTTAGCTAACATACAGTGTGCTCTTGGCTTCAGGAGTAGATCCCTGTGATTCATCACTTACATACAACACCCACTGCTCATCCCAACAAGTGCCCTCCTCAATGCCCATCACCCATTTCTACCGCCCTCCCCCATCCGCATCAATCCTCAGTTTGTTCTGTTTCTTATGGTTTGCCTCCCTCTCTGTTTGTAACTATTTTTCTCCTTCCCTTCCCCCATGGTCTTTGTTTCGGAGTGAAACTAGAAGAGATACTTGTCATTTAATAGGAAATCCAAGTTGCTGGTTAGTAGCATCACGTACAGAAAACAGACAGAAAAACATGGTCCAAGGGCTCTTTGAGAAGACCAAACCATGACTGCTGAACTTGAGCTGCACTTCTGGGAAGTACCTGAGGTGCAGGACAATAGGCTCCCATTCCCCCTGTGTTGGGGCCGTGATCGCCCTCCAGCAATCGTTTATGGTCTTGTGCTGGGGGCATGGGGGCCACGGTCCTGCCATCAGTGAAGCACAGACACTGCAGAGAAAACAAAATAGTCCACTTATCTTAAATGGCAAAAAATTAAAAAGAAAAAAAAAGGAAAAGAAAAACAACAACTTAATAAGGAGAACTAGATGTACCATAACTCTAATCAGCAGAAAAAAAAAATTTTTTTTTTCAAGTGAGTTGAAACATAAGTAACCCTAAGCTATTTACATCAAGAATCAAAAGATTTTGTATACTCAGTTTCTGAAGGGTCTGTAATTTTTGAGCGAGTTAGGAAAAAAAGGTAAAGCTAATTTCAAAGTGAAATATTTCAACCTTTCCCCCCTTAAATAATAGATGATAAAAACCCAAGTCCTCTACTGATATACTGGGTGTGATTAAGAAAGAATAAATTCTTTTTTCACTTGCATCCAAAATACTAAACATATACAAATTCCTTTGTAGGTGCTGGGTTTATGCTTTCAGATGAAACAACCAGAATAAATAAAATCTTTTTGGGGCTCATAGATCAGGTAATACAACTTCTCATACTCTGTAAGAGCCCAGAAGATGAATACACTTACAGAAACCTCTTCTCCTTCAAGAAGTTCTTCAATGACAATTGTTTCTCCAGCTGCTCCATAAGCTTTCTCCTTGCAGATGAAAAAAAAGAAAGTTAAGCTTTTTTAAAATTTTTTTTTTTTTCAACGTTTATTTATTTTTGGGACAGAGAGAGACAGAGCATGAACGGGGGAGGGTCAGAGACAGAGGGAGACACAGAATCGGAAACAGGCTCCAGGCTCTGAGCCATCAGCCCAGAGCCTGACGCAGGGCTCGAACTCACGGAGCGCGAGATCGTGACCTGGCTGAAGTCGGATGCTTAACCGACTGCGCCACCCAGGCGCCCCAAAGAAAGTTAAGCTTTTAATATTTACTTAATGGGCTGTTGTCATTTTTCACAATTTTTTTTTTTTCCCCAACGTTTTTTATTTATTTTTGGGACAGAGAGAGACAGAGCACGAACGGGGGAGGGGCAGAGAGAGAGGGAGACACAGAGTCGGAAACAGGCTCCAGGCTCTGAGCCATTAGCCCATAGCCCGACGCGGGGCTCAAACCCACGGACCGCGAGATCGTGACCTGGCTGAAGTCGGACGCTTAACCGACTGCGCCACCCAGGCGCCCCTATTTTTCACAATTTCTATTATGAACCAATTCTAGTATTGTAATTTCCCCTTCCTTTTCTGAAAGCCTCAAAGGAACATATGAATGTTTTCTTTTTTGTTTACTTATTTAAGTAATCTCTAAACCTGATGTGTGGCTTGAACTCACAACCCTGAGATCGTGACCCTCAGACCCTCCGGCTGAGCCAGCCAGGCACCCCATATGAATGTTTCCTATTTTGTCAAGTGGTAATGATACAGAGCTAGCACTGGTACAGATGAAATGAACACATCATTAACACTCTTGTGGGGATCTAAATATATTTTGACAAGGGAGATCAATAACCAAGATGGATCATAAAAGAAAAGTAAGGGTATTAATTCAATGCTTCACTTCTCTTAGACCTGGGACATAACAAATACTTGTCTTCATAGATGGCTGAGAATTTGAATGGTCTGTAGTCTGAGGATTTTCTACCTTCCATAGCAGACAACAAAGCATGCTACAACTTACTTCCAAAGAATAGCATCATGGTTTAGCCATCAGTGTAGATTTGTAAAAAGCCTTTTATAGGGATGGATTATAATACACAATATTACAACAAATAACTGATGGGTTTGCTAGACTGTGTCCTTGAGACACAATTCATAAACTTACAAGTATTCATCACAGTGTGACTTTTCCAGAGAACAACTTACCTGCATGATCTCCTGTACGGCCCTGCAGGCTTCTTCTGTGCTCTTTGCAACAATCACCCCTTTCCCAGCTGCAAGACCACTGGCCTTCACAACCAAAGCAGGGAAGTCTGCACTGTAAAGACAGAGTCATCTTCAACATTCAATAAATCCTTACAAAAGTTTAAAATGCTCTAGGATGTTGTAATGATAAGCTATAGCAACTGAAAAGCAGAAAGAAAAAAAAGTGCTTGTACCGACATCATTTTGATACTTCCTGCCAGGATTTTTTCCCTATGTATTCCTTTAGAGTCGTGATCATAAGGTACATACAATTTTGCTTTTTTCACTTATCATGAGATCATATAGGCAAGGTCTTTGGAAACTGAAGCAACTGTATAGCACAGGTATGGAATGATCCTTAGGAATAAAGTAGTGAATTGTACTTTCATTCTAGTAGAAGATGTAACTGTGTAAAACCAGTGTTAAGTGTGGATACATAAGTCGTTTCTGAGAGTACACAGAAGAAACTGTTCTTGGTAGTTTCTTCTGTTGGATGGGAGTGGAGATCTACAAGGAGACTTACCCAAAATAAGTAACAAAATTGTTACTGACCCAAGTCATCTGGCTATAATAATAACATTCAGTGTCTAAAAATCCTATAGGATGAAAAATAATGAAACTGACTCAACTAAAAGGAAAACATACCAGATAAAAGGGAGAAATGTCAACAAAAAAGGGCAAAGGCATGTACCTACCATCATTTGTTAATTGCTTTATGTTTTTATTTTATCTCTTTTGAGAGAGACACAGAGAGAGCGAGCTAGCGAGCAAGTAAGGGAGGGGCAGAGAGAGAGGGGGACAGAGGATCTGAGGCAGGCTCTGTGCTGACAGCACAGAGACGGATGCCTAGCTCAAACTCACTAAGTGTGAGATCATAACGGCAGTCAGACGCTTAGCCAACCAAGCCACCCAGGTGCCCCTAATTGCTTAATATTTTTAACACAACAAAGAACAAGAATGTTTCGTCTTTTTAGATCTCAGTCCAGGTGGCAGAAGGCTAAGTGAAGATTCCTCACTCTAGTTAATTATTTATGAAAAAGCCAATATCCTTTATGTTGTAAGATGCCACTGTGTCAGTTTGGCTGTGAAAGGAGAGCCTGACTGCTGAATCAAATGTTATCTTTTCCCTTAGAAACTCTTCACTTATATTCAAAAAATTCTTCTTTCTGCAAGGCCACAGAGTATACAACTATACATGCCCAGGGTCCTAACCTACACAGCATGAGTCCCCCCCCCCCCCAATTATCTTACTATAAACCTGTGACACAAAAGTGACCTGTGTATCTTCTAGCTACCTCATAATAAAGCTGCAGGCCTCCTCAGGTCTGGTGAAAGCTCTCCACCGTGCTGTCGGGATTCCGTGTCGGTCCATAAACTCTTTGGCAAATCTCTTGCTGGACTCTAACTGAGCTGCTTCTGCTGTGGGACCAAAGCATCGCACTCCTGCAGAGGTCAGGTTCCCAACAATTCCTATTGATGGAAACAGGCAGCCTTAGGTGAACCAAGGTCTCTGTAGGGCCTTCTGACTCTGAAGAATCACGATTAGACTAAGTCTATAGGGACATAAAGCAGATAAGTAGTGGCAGAAAATAACTAGATCATTCATATTGTCTCCAGGATAGAAACAGAAACTTTAGTACCATGTGATTCAAACCCAGCAAAAATGATGTGCTGGAGTCAAGTGCAGGATTATTAAATGGACACCAGAACAGAGCAGAATATGAACACATAAAATGTTTCCCACAGTTGCAGATTTGATCTTTCATTCATCACATTACTGATACATTAGGGGAAAAAAACGTAGAATCCATACATTTCAAGAGGGTGAAAGCTCTTTTTCCAATGTGATACAAGATTAAAAATCCTCATCTTAGATGATCTCTAAGCTCCTGTTGGCAATGCATATATTATATTGATAAATAGAAACAAACTTTACCAGCAGCCAGAGGTGCCTCTGGTCCAACAACTACGAATTCAATGTTCTCATCTTTGCAGAACTGAGCAAGGGCAGTGTGATCACTTATCGAGATGGCTGTGAACAGAAAAACAAACCCATCTCACTTGATAAAACATTAACAGTCATGCTGAAAAACAAGGACTTTATTTTTAGATGCCTATTAACTATTGGTTTTCTTTTACGGATACAGATGATAGTTTCACCGTGAGATATTCAGAACCTACTGCATTAAACTAACCAACATAGCTCAGTCCTCCATCACTACAGCCAGTTAGATGACAATACCAGTAAGCTTCCCAAAGAGCTATTAAAAGTCCTTTGTCACATTGATTGTAAGCAAAAAATGTACCACAGGATATATTCAGAAACTGTCTTTTAATGTCATTTACTCAAGATTTACTGAGAACCACTATATGCTAGATTCTGTACTAGTCACTCGGTTAAGATACTAATAGAGTCCCGACACTTAGGATGCTTGTGTGGGAATTTTGGGTAATAAATATGCAAGCAAAAAAAAAAAAAAAAAAAAAAAAAAAAGAAAAAGAAAAACAAAAAAAACCCAAGTGTGAACAAATCAGGCAAATTTGATGTCAGATGAATTGGGAGGCTATTCCAGGAAGGGTCTTTGGGCAGAGATGTGTAAGGTACGAACTGAATGATAATTTTAAGACCTAGCTTCCTTCTTCAACCCACAAGTCAGGTAAGTTTTCTCAATGGAGTTCTAAATAATTAGCAGCAGGATCAACCATATGCAAAGTATGGGTTGATTCCATAAGCACCCTCATGCTTCACTGTATCTGGACCACCATTCTTTTTTGCTTTTGTTTTTTAGATTTATTTTTTTAACATTTATTTGAGAGAGAGCAAGGGTGCACACCAATGGGGGAAGGGCAGAGAGAGGGAAAGAGAATCACAAGTAGGCTCTGCACCGTCAGCACGGGAGCCTGACAGGGGACTTGATCTCATGAACCACGAGATCATGACCTGAGCTGAAATCAACACCTGGATGTTTAACTGACTGAGCCACCCAGGAGCCCCTGGACTACCATTCTTAAGTTGGCTGAAATCTTAACCTATGATGTTTGTGATGTGTAGGGTAAGTGCAGAAAGAGTAGGGTTCTCAACTTGTGAGCTGCCTGAGTAGGATAAGGAAAGAAAACCATGTACTCAGGGTTGGTATCTGCTAACACAACTGGGCTGAGCAGAGCTGACTACATCTGCACAGCAGAGAGTGGCAAGAGAAAAATACCTATCCTGTTGCTACAAGTGGTAGCAGTCTCATGGCAATCTTGAGAGATTTTCATGGGCCAGTCTACAGGACATCAACTGTTATTTACACAGAACGTGCCAGTTCTTCAATAAATACATTAAGATACCTCACCCGCGAAACTAAGAACCAGGGAAGCAGATGTTTCATTTATCATTTTTTCTTTTTGGTCCTATGTACACAATTATCTTCTCCCAGTTTGTGGCTTGTTGGGCCTATGTTCTCTCCATAAATATTATGTGCCATACAGGGTACTAGGCATGATGGATGCAATACAAAAACAAGACAGATGGGTTTCTTGCCCTCATGTAGCTTACAATCTAGAGCTTATGTTCCTGCAGGGAAATGATGATAGGAGATAGACAATAGAAAAGTAAATATGTACAATGGTTCATGACTGAAAGCATATGAAATGGGGTGGGCATGCTTTACCTAGAAGTTTCAGGAAAGACCTCTTTGAGGAGAGAACATATAGACTGAGACCTGAATGACAGGGAGCCAGTCATGCTAGGGGTGGGAACAAATACCAAGTTCAAGGCAGCTCTGTTTGGGAAAATGGCAGAACTGCATGGGCAGAGAGCACACTGAAAAAAATACAAAGGACATAAAAGATCAGGCTGGAAAGTGATACAGGAGCCAGACTGCAAAGGGCTTTGATAGTTAGGAGTTTGAGTTCTATTCTAAGGAAGTCACTAAAGAATTTAAGGTAGTGTAAGAACTGAACATTTTTTTTCACTTCTACCAGTGAAAGAGATAAAGGTTGAGGTCTATTATGGACTCAGATTTGCCAAAATTTACTTTTAATAGCACCGCTCAACTTTTCATTTCCAAAAATACACATCAAAACGCCTTTACCCTTAGGCACCTGTGACTTTTTCAATGGATGTATTTTGTAACGTTTATAGTAATTTAAGATAAAGAAATGCTACCCTCTGAACAAGACACCTTTTTTTTTTAAGTAGGCTTCACACCCGTGCAGAGCCCAATGCGGAGCTTGATCTCACAACCCTGAGATCAAGAGTTGGATGCTTAACTGACTTGAGCCATCCAGGTGCCCCTGAATAAGATACCTTAAATTTACAACATACAAGTATTTAAATTACCACATACATCTTAAGGTTAAGAAAAGCATTCAAATATGAATAACTATCAACTCTATAAAGAACAGATGTGGTTGACATTTATCATTTACGATTATTAGCTATTACTTCCGACTTTATTTTTTTTGTATTTAAAAATTTTTTTTAAAGTGTATTCATTTTTGAGAGACAGAGTGTGAGTGGGGGAGGGGCAGAGAAAGAGGGAGACACAGAATCCAAAGCAGGCTCCAGGCTCTGAGCTGTCAGCACAGAGCCCGACGCAGGGCTTGAACCCATGAACTGTGAGATCATGACCTAAGCCCAAGTCAGACGCTTAACCGACTGAGCCACCCAGGCACCCCAACTTACTTGTTTTTTTGAAAAAGAGCACACGTGTACAGGAGAGGGGTAAAGGGAGAAAGCAAGAGAGAATCTTAAGCAGACCCCATGCTCAGGGCGGAGCCCAACACAGGGTTGCATCTCCTAAGTGTGAGATCCTGACCTGAGCAGAAATCAAGTCAGACACTTAACTGACTAAGCCACCCAGGCGACCCTTACTCCCCACTTTTAAAGATGATTACCAGTATTTGAAATCTTTTCCAAGCAGGCAGTGCCTGCATTGCCCGGGGCAACCAACACATGTTTGACACGATTAGACTGTGCGAGTTTCCAGGCCAGTGTATGTTCCCTTCCGCCACCGCCAATTACAAGTATGCGGGCTGCCATTGCTCTGTCTGCAAAGCAGGAATTCCAAAGGAAAATAAAAGCTGCAGAAAGAAAACCACAGTTATTTTATAATAAACTTTAGAAATCACAATTTGTAAATATGATTTAAGTGGTCACTTGTAATCCTACAAATAACATTTTACTCCCCAGATTTATTTATGAAAAATTAGGGATAATTTGAGATGACAATATTCATGAGGATTAGGGAGGTATGTATTTATGGAATCTCCACCCCTGATGTGGGGCCCGAACTCATGACCCCGAGATCAAGAGCTGCATGCTGTAATGACTGAGCTAGCCAGGCGCCCCAAGGTAGGTATTTTAAAAATGAGGCAGACTGACCTAGAGCTAGGTTAAGGAATTAAATGGTGACTTCTAACCTGATTTAAAAAAAAAAAAAAATTCCTATGAATAATCACCTTTCTTTAGGTTTTACTTCACTCTTTTTGAAATTTTTTTAGAAGTTTATTTTTTGAGTGAGAGAGAGAAAGGCATGTGAGCGGGGGAGGGGCAGAGAGAGACGGACTGAGAAAGAATTCCAAGCAGGGTCCACTGCCAGTGCAGAGCTCCACACAGGGTTTGAACCCACAAACCAGGAGATTATGACCTCAGCCTAATTCAAGAGTCAGAAGCTTAACCAACCGAGCCACCCAGGTGCCCCTACTTTTCCTCTTTTGAAAGATTTGCAATCATCAATCCTTAGTCAAACAAGAATACTAACATTTCAAATTTAAACCTCAAATTTAATATACCTGCTTTTAAAACTTGAGATACCACAGATAAGACTTTAAAGTTATCATAAACTGGAAGAAATATTTAAGATTGGGGCTTGTATTGGGCCAGAGAGTAAATATTTTCATTTTCATCTTTGAGGGTCATAAGATCTTTATGGTAACAGCTCAACTGTCACTGTGGCACGAAAGCAGCCATAGACAATACAGAAATGGATGAACATGGTTATGTTCAGTGAAACCTTACATAAATAGGCAGTGGGCTGTAAGTCATAGTTTGCCTATATTCCGCTCTAAGCAGTAGGAAGCTATCACAGGCTCATAAAGAATAATCATGAGTGTGTTTCAATAAAACCTTATTTATGGACACTGTAATGTGAATATCTTACAGTTTTCAAATGTCTTAAAAATATCATTCTTCCTTTAAATTCTTCCTAATCATGTAACAATTGTGAAAATTGTTCTTATTTGGTGAGCTGTACAAAAACTGGTGGCAGGAAGGATTTGGTACAAGGGCCAGTTTGCGGACTCCTGATTTAAGAAGTTAGTGCAATATGCTAGAAGGTTGGTACAGAAGGCAAACTCAAACTTGAACACGTCTCACCATAGCTCTGGCATTTGATTCTCAGCTGGACAGATATAAACACCTATCTCAACTCAAGTCAGCAGTGTAATCTTGGCTAAACTCTTACTACCCGTAAATCGATTTCTTTACATCTTAAAAGATGGAAGGAGGAGAACTTGCTTAAGAAGCTATATTAAGGGTTAACTGAAATAACATTTTCTTTGAAATGACATTTATAAACAGTTAATACAATTTCTGACAGCAGCAATAAATGCGAGCTTGTTATATTTTATTACTTTTACGTAAGTTGATACATTAAGAGATACAAGTACTAACAGGGAGAGAAAAGCCAAAGGAATAAATACTTGTCACACTAGTCTACTAATTTCTAGAAGACGTTTCATTAGGTAGAAGGCAAACTGAAGACAGCAGAAAAGAAAACTGAAATCAGTAACTTGAGTGATGCTAGGATTACATATTTACAGAAAAGTCTAGGCTGGTAATACAAAACACTTACAACTTTTAAGCACTTACTTTGTGCCAGATGCTATTCTAAATGCTTTTCACGAGAATTGCTTCACAATCGTAAGAATTCTATGAGGTAGCTACTATAACCACCCCACTGTACAGATAAGAAACTGAGGTCCACTTGGGTTAAACAACTTGCTGTATGTCACATATCTAAGAGGAAGTGAAGCCTTGATTCCAAAGTCTGCAATTTTGCTTTGGATAGTCTTCACAGTTGAGATGATGATTACTTAAAATTTGAGGAAGAGAAAAGTCGCTATTGTCTCAGACAAAAGCTATTTTTAACAAAAAAACAGCCTTGTCACGTGTATCAAAACACCTGAAGTAAACAAATTTTTCTGAATTCTGAATGAGAAAAAAAAAAAACCCAAACATTTAGTTTGGATGAGAGGCACTAAAGGAAAACTGTCCTAGCTGCCACAGCGGATCACAGAAATTGCATTAGGATCCAGCCTGAAGGAATCCACATCAGGGATGGTTAGGAGGCCTGGGCTGCAAAGTGCTTTGGTTTGGGTTGAGACTGCCCCTTACTAGCTGGGATACCTCGAGAAACTTAATTTTTTTGGGCCTCGGCCATCTAAACGGGTAGCTTAAAACCAGAATAAGAGAGTCAGGTAAACCAATTGAGAAGGACAGGGTGAATGATACAAAGCAGAAACCAATTACGAAAGTGGACTAAATCTGCTACAGACCAGGGGTGCATCAAGAAAAAATATGCATTTTAGGCTTATGACCTAAAAAAAGGCATCAAAATACAGACCCATAAAAAAAAAAAAAA